TGGGGCATAAAAAGTAATCACCACACGTCCCTGCCAAGCATAAGAATTTTAAAATTTCTTTTCTGCGAAAATTCCAAGATATCATATCATTTCTAAATGGTTACTTGTACGTGAACACTGATGTATATATAAGTATTTATTTTTTCCAAAATATTATGTAAAAAACAGAAAATATGTAAAAGAAAAACTCCTTACAATGTTTAAAACTCCTCCCTACAAGCATTTTCAAATGGATTCAAAGCACTTGAAAGAAAGCTCTTATTTTATAGATATAGTAATTGCACACTACCCTTACAATGGTATTGAGATATTTCATATATCCATTGGCCATTACCGAGTAGTTTAGTACACAAATCAAAATCACTGGCTTTCACCATAAAATACGTAGTATGTAAATATTGTTTATGAAGAGTTGGCTTGAAGAAAATAGTCATAATGAATTCAATTGAATTACACACAGGCTCTATGAAATATAATAGCAAACATGTGATTGAGAATACTTCTGCTTCGCAAATATTCCCTAACTTTGGATTCCATGCAAGTAGTTTTCAAGAAGCGGGCAACGAAGTGGTCATAAGTACAGCAGTATTACATTGTTTTGTAAGAAAAATGATTCTAGTAAAATATATTGGCAAACTCATATTTGAAAAGTTAGATTTTGATGTATAAATATTTTTAAATGCAATGAAATATGTAGTAATAGGGAAAAATGTAAGATTATGTAATTTTACCAAAATATATAGGATAAAAATAGTTCTAATTCATTGAGAATGTCTTGTAAATTCTAAATAAATTACTGAATGCTAGTATTTTGTTCCTGTAAAAATACATGCTTGCATGAAAATACATTCCATACTAATGCCAAAAGGTTCAAATAGGATTATACATCTTGCACTAGATTTTTTGTTTCAACCACTATGAGTTTGCTGACATCTCTCAAAATTTTGGAACGTGACAAAAATAAAATAAGACTTTAAGAATACAAATAAGAGTTGAAAAGTAGTATGAAAAAAGTTAAAGAAGATCTTTTCCCCATGTTCAATCTATAAAGAGAACAGGAGCTTATGCAATACACGACTCTTAATGCATTAGAGAGATAGGATATGAGCAACAGCACACCTTCTTGCAAACAAAAACTAGTTTTCTACCATTCGAATTTCAATATGCAACTTCAGACAGTTTTGCAAGAGTAAATTTGATGATAACAGTTGATTGAAAAATTCGTCAATCATGTGTAACATATTTTTCATAATATACAGGAGCACACTATATAAAACAACAAAAAGGTAATAGGATTAGTGAACCATATATCATTTCTTCAAATGGTTTGATTGAAAAACTTCTTTCTCCTAGTTTCTCTATCAAATGTGAAAATACAAGATGCTGAAGTTTTACTAGAGAAGGTGCACAGAAATCAATTTACTAATTTTGACATAAACTTATTTCCTGTTGATTTGAACTTCTGTCTGCATCTTAGGCAAGATCTCCCAATCAGAAGGAAGGTATGAGCTGAATTTGAAGCAAAAAGAACAATATTTTGTTTCTTCTGCTAATGCAATGAAATTGATATGACAAATGAACACAACTCAATAGTTTCTTTACAAAAATATTAAGCATATGTATACAATACTACAAATGTAACATTGTTTAGAATTTAATTTTTGTTTCACTTGATAGAAAAACTCATTGCCTCAGTGCCACAGTTGTGTCAAAAAAATACTGTAAAATAAAATACTATGCCAATCCGATGACACAGACTTCTAAGGCAGTAGAGGAGTAGTGCTCTGGGACCAGAAGATCGAAGTTTTGAGTCCTGGCCCGGGCATGGTTGTGTTGTGTGTGAAATCAAAATTTCATCCCATCCCCCAGGGCTAACAACCCTGCGATTTAAAATGGAATCGGTATTGAAATGCTGATTACCTCTTATGCAAAAGTAACGAGCACCTACCCCAATAATCAAGTCTGAGCCGTGGTGGGAAGCATGTATCCCACCATCTAGTCTGAGGCCCCGTGATGGCCAAGTCACAAAACAAAAAACAATGTGTAAAACAAAATACTATACACACAAGCCAAAGTTGTATGAAAAAATACTAGTAATCATTGTCTTTTGATGTTTAATTACATATTTTAAATTTTAAAAATGAATCAAGCAGAAAATCACAGTTGTAAAGATAAAAGAGTATAATAATGAAAATGAGTTATTATGATCTTTGTTTTGTGTTATGTGTGGAATGGAACACATTACTCTGAGTTTTTGTGAAACTTGTTGAGACACAAAATGGTGATGTGGAAATTTTTCTGTGCCAGAAAATGATTTAGAACTGAAGAACTCAATATTGAAATTTCTGCCAGACAGTGTGCGAGACGTAGCGTCTCGGTCGAAAGGGTTGCAGGTTTAAGTACCGCTGTGGGCATGAGTGTTTGTCCCTTGTCTTTTATGTATGTGATTTGTTGCAGAAGGCCTTGAGAGTCTGCTGATCACAGACTGAGGAGCCCACAAGTGTCAAGGTTTAGTTGAAGGGTTAATATGTGTCCCCAAGAGAGTTCGCTGAAAATGGGACCAGCACCACTTTCTTTACCATTCTTTACCTTGCTACATACAAGGAAAAAATTTAAAGAAAAAACTTGGGTCCGTTTTTGAGATAATAATAGTTTGAAATTTAAAAACTGTCCATGTTTTATGCAAAAATTACTCCTATTTTCGAAAAATTGAGCACTACCTTATTTGAAGATATTTATGAGTTTCATTATCAAAAACTTTTTTATCTTAATTATCTAGTTGTAATTTATTTAAAATTAATACAATAAATTTACTGTACTGTTTTAGATAATGTTAGGATTTACACTAATAAAATATTTAAGAGAAACAATATTTATTATACTTGATGAAAATAATTAGTGAACAGAATTAAGTGTAATAAAAAAAGCAAAATATATAATATATACTTAATGTCTTTATTTGTTTCAAAAAAATTAAGAAAAACAGAAAATCTGTAACGTAATTCATTAAAGTGTTTAAAATCATTTTACACAAGTATTTTCTGAGTACAGAAAATCATGAATCAGATCTTAACCTGAATTCAGGGTGGCTGAAAAATAGTTCTACCTCTACAGAAGCAATTGTACACTAGTTTTCACCACACGCAAGACTATTATTCAAAATATATAATACATTTGTTGAATGTACAATGTTGTGTATGAGGAGTGGGTGTTCAATTCAAAAGTATGACCTTGTTACCAGAGTGGATCCTGGCGGGGAATGGGGGAAAAGCGTATATACACCAACTTAATTCAACACAATAAGACAATGATCTGTAAAAATAATTGTTAGCTTTCAATCGAGTTATACATTGGCTCCATGCAATATGAGCAAACATGTGGGCGGTTGAAATTACTTCTGCTTCACAAATATCCGCGGTAGAGGTGTAAGTTTCACAATTCATGCCAAAGGCAGGTAAAGAAGAGTGGTGGCATAACATTGCTTTATAAGAAAGATGATACATTGCATTTGAAACATTCCGTTTCTAAGTATAAATATATTATAAAGTAACCTAATATTTAAGAAATTTGTAAGTTTAGGTAAAATATATAACAATATACATGACAAAAATTTATAAAATAAACTTGTTCTTATTCATTCAGAATGTCCTGTAAAATCTGAAAAATATTATTAAGTGTAGGGATTTTGTTCCTGTAAAAGTATGTTACATGAAAATCTGTTCCCTAATTAAACTGGTCAACACACATTTTCTTGATACACAAGTTAAAGCCATTTTAAAGTATGTTTGACACCCAGATTCCAAAGATGGAATAGCTATTCGCAAATCGTATAA